CCCCCCCGCCGCCGCCCCCCCGCCATGCCCCAGTAGAAGAGAATAGAAGCTCTTGTCTATCTTGTTTACAGCTGTATCCCCAGAGCCTGGGGCAGGGCCTGACTCATAGTAGAAGCTTGGTGTACATTTGCTGACTGATGTGTCTGTGAGGACTATAGCTAAGATTGTTAGAACTAGATAGAAGAAAAACAGTCCAGCCTCATGGGTTCACAGCTGGGGAAGCAGAGGCAGGGATGCAAACTTCATGAGAGCCAAGTTGATTGTGTACAATCCGTAGGTTTCATTTTCATAAGCAGTAGTAGCCGCTAAAGGTGAAGGTTAGTTATTTCCTCCTACAATCTCCCTGCCAGGATTATCATGATAATAGATCTCAGAACAAATTCCACTACCCATACAAATATGTATACAACAGGCATTTACTAGCAGGAAGCCACAAAACCGGTTCATACAGTCTGTTCTGTAAAGTCAGTCAGCCCTCTGTCCTTTTAGGTGCTCTGTCACCTTGCATGAGGGGTCCACTCAAGAAAGATACAACGTTCTAGATGCAGAATTCAGCTGGACAGATGGTCACATCAGGCAACCAGAATCCCTCAGGATTTGGGATGCCTCAAGGATTTAGCCCAGTCCATCATCCTTAAGTGAGATTTTTTTTTTTTCACTCTGAAGAAGGAATGGATGGTGCCCCTCATCATTTTAGCCAACCTACATATCTCGAATGCTACAGGCACACATTGTTTTATTGCACTTTGCTTTATTGTGCTTTGAAGATACTGCGTTTTTTTACAAATTGGTTTGTGGGAGCCCTGTGTCAAGTCCAACAGCATTTGCTCATTTCATGTCTCTGTGTTACATTTTGGTAATTCTTGCAATATTTCAAATTTTTTCATTATTATATTTGTTATGGTGATCAGTGATCTTCAGTGTTACTATTGCAGAAAGATTATGACTCGATGAAGGCTCAGATGATGATCAGCATTTTTTAGCAATGAAGTATTTTTATTTATTTTGTATTTTTAAAAAGTTTATATTTTTATTTTTTAAAAGTTTACTTATTCTTGGCTGTGTTGGGTCTTCGTTGCTGGGTCTTCTAGTTGTGGCGAGCGGGGGCCATTCTTCATTGCGGTGTGCGGGCTTTTCACTGTGGTGGCTTCTCTTGTAGTGTAGTACAGGCTCTAGGCACTTGGGCTTCGGTAGTTGCAGCACGCGGGCTCAGTAGTTGTGGCTTGTGGGCTTAGTTGCTCCATGGCATGTGGGATCTTCCTGGACCAGGGACTGAACCCATGTCCTCTGCATTGGCAGGCGGATTCTTAACCACTGCGCCACCAGGAAGTCCAGCAGTGGACTATTTTTAAATTAGGCATATACATTGCTTTTTTAGACATAATGCTATTGCACACTTAGTAGACAGTGGTATAGTATAAACGTATCTTTTATATGCACTGGGTAACAAAAATTCATGTCGCTTGCTTTATTGCGATATTGGCTTTATTGTAGTGGTCTGGAACCCAGCCTAGAATATCTCCAAGGTATGCCGGCAGTAATTTCACCAAAAGATAGCTTATTTCTAATGCCTGTTGTGCTAATTAATAAGCCACGAATTTCACTGATGCATTCATTATGGCGCTCTCTATGCTAATCATTATTGAGATATGGAGAGCTGCAGGGCTGTGCTGAGCTGATTGGGTGTGATTGTGTACATCTCAGACATGGTGGAAGTATTTACACTATGGAAAGTGGCAACAGGGTCTCCCTGCCCACCCCACCAACCAGAGAGCCAGTTATTAAACACTGACCAGCACACCACTGGATAGCTTAGAGCCCTCTGGACTGTGGCCTTTCTGATAAATTCTGGCTGACCACCTCACCCTCATGACTACCTCTAGTCTTGGTGATAGTCATAGCCGCACTTTAGAAATTACCTGGCACCTTTACAACAATATTGATTGCCAGGACCCGGTTGGTGGAGATTCTGACTTAACTGGACTGGGGTGGGGCTTGGATATCAGAGTACATTTGAATCTCACCACGTGGTTCGAAACTGCAGCCAGGGTCACACTCCCACCTCTGTGTCATACTATTTATACCACATATTCTAACAAAGTTAATGGCAAAGCCAGGCTTGGCACCAGGCCTGCTGACCCCCAGCCCAGAGGTCCTGGCAAAAGGAGAGAAAAATTGAAAATAGGTCATTACTTCTTCTGAGATTTCAGTATTTGCAGATGTGTCTGAGGAGCAGCCCATAGTGCTTGGGGTCAGGTTGGGGGTGGGAGGGACAACGAAGTTGCCCAGGAGCCCGGGAAAGGCTGTGCTAGCCCCAAAGAGCTCCAGGCTCCCCCTGCGGGGGTGTCTCAGCCTCATCCCTCAGGGCGTCATCGTTTAGGGGCTCAGGGAGAGCTGAGAGGGACCACACAGATGTGTGCGTGTCACTAGGGAAGATTTGAAAGAGGAGAGCGTGCAGCTAGCTAGAGAGGTCAGGACTAAGGTGGGGGCAACTGAAAGAAAACCGGAGTGGGGAAGGAGGCTAGGAGGCGAACCCCCAGGGAGAGGGAGATAGACAACCCCTCCTAGGGCAAGGTGCTGAGCTAGCCCTCCTGGGGATGGAGATGAGCACCTCCATGAGTGGGTGTAAGCCTGGCTCTGTGGGGCTGGTGAGGGAAGGTAGTCCTGCAAAGAGGGGTAAAGATTTAATTTCTTCCTCCTTAAAGGACAGAAAGGATGACTTCTAACCTTGGGGTAGGATGCCTTCTTAGCCCCCGGTTATTCATTTGAAGGTGACCCTCAGCAGTTCCTGGTTCCAAGTCTCTACCCAACCTTGCAAGGCTTGCTTCTTAGTACCAGGAAACTGGCTTCCTTTTAACTCCCTGGGCAGGGCATTGCCTCCCTCCCCACCCCCACCTTACTTTCTTCTTTCTACGGCAGAGCCCTGAGGGCTGGGCCAGCCTGGTCTCTGTTTCTCTCTGGGCGGCTTGGGAGTCCAGGGCAGGGGACTGGGACAAGTGTGCCATTCCTGCAGTCACCACCAGGGACCCCACCTAGCGCTGCCGTGAGCTCACAACCTCTGGGCCACACATTTAATTCCTGAATGGCACAAACACTGATTGCCGGCCTCCCAAGTCCCAGGCTGAGCTAGGCCTGCAGGGAAAGGAAATAGCAGAGTCAAGCAGGGGCCGTGGGAGACAGACCCACAGCCAGGAAGACAGATTCTGACCCCAGGCAGGGGAAAGGCTGGGTGCACAGAAGCTGGGTCAGAGCTGGGCTGAGTGTGTGCAAGGGAGGGGGCTCCTGAGTTGGGGTGAGGGGGTGAGGGCTTCTCAGAGGAGGAGGCCACTGGGGCAGGGTTGGGATCTCACCTGGCCGCAGAGAAGGGGAATCTCAGAGACCTGGGGAAAAGCCTCCAAACTGTTACAAAAGGAAACTGCGGGCCTCAGCTCCACGAGGGCCCCTAGCCGCACCCTCGTCTGCAGCACCTTCCTAGATGTGGCTCTCCCACCCGCCTTAGGCTGAGGAACTCCACTTCCTTGTTCCATTCATGCCTTGCACACTCATTTGCACACTTTAACACCTTAGCCATAAATTCCTGCTCTTCTCCCATAGTCTTCTCTCTTGACAACAGTGGAAAGCGAGTATTTCTGTGTACCCTGAATGAAGCACTCTAGCTGTCTCCCTAGCGCCCCTCTGCACACACTCTCCCACGACCCCCAACGTGCCTGAGCACAGGCGCTTCCACAGCTGCACGCGACCTCTTTCGCAAAACCCTCGCCCCCGCCCCTCCCTCGGCCTCCTCTGGGTCCAGGCCGCTGCCCCGCCCCAGGCCCGCCCCCTCCCAGAGCGCCCATTGGCCCTGGGGCTGGGTGGACCCGGGCCGGGGCTGTGATTGCGGCTCGCCGGTGTCAGTCCCCGAGTGAGCGCCGGTGGCGGGGCGGGGAGCCGGGCAGGCAGCCTCAGGTGGGGCTGCTGGCAGCGAAGGACCCAGCCCGGGAGCCCCCCAGGATGCCCCGCGGAGACTCGGAGCAGGTGCGCTACTGCGCGCGCCTCTCCTATCTCTGGCTCAAGTTCTCGCTCGTCATCTACTCCACGGTGTTCTGGGTGAGTGACCCCAGTCGGGCCCCCGGCATGGGAGGGGGAGTCGGCACTCCCTTGTTCACCCACACGCTGAGCCGGCGGTGGGGGTGGGCTGGGTCCAGGCTTGTCTGCTCCAGGGAGGGACAGAAGCGCACCCCTGGATTCTCGTCCCACTCTCCTTGCGAACTAGGAAATTATGGTTGCTCCAGCTCCGCCTGAGTTTCAGCCGCCCGGTGCGGAGCCTTAGAGCTTGGTGCCAACGTCTCAGACGAAGGAGCTCCCACGAAGGAGCTCCGCCTGGCTCACCTGTGTGCACCTGACCAGCCGTTTTGTTCTGCGAGTCCGCTGCGCTTCCGCTGGTGCCGTAGGCTGTGGTTACCACGTTTGGCCGCGCTCACCCCACCTGCCGGGTATTACTGAGTTCGTCTCTCTATCCGTCTGCGGAGAAGTGGTCGGGCTTTGTTGTCCGGAGTCGGGAGACCTGAACTCCTTATGCTGTCCCCACTGTTTACTTGCCGATGCCCCTGAGCAAGATGCTTTTCCAGGTGCCTTGATTTCCTCTTTGGTGAAAGGATTCCACCAGACGTGTGGTCTTCGGCTGCTCCCAGGTGCTCAGTAACTTAAAAAAGCCCCTGCACTTAACCTTCTCTCTCTCTTGTTGGGGGCAGGGTGGTAGTGGCTGGACATGAACCAGCCTTCGAATCCTGCCACTTCGACTTTCCAGCTGCGTGATCTTGGGGAAGTTACTTCAACTCTCTAGGCCATAGTTTCCCCGTCTGCAAATGGAGACAGTCATTATACTCAACTTTCAGAATGGTTGTGGAGATTAAATGAAACAGGTCAAGTACATTGCTTAGCACAGGGACCAGTGAAGAGCTTAAGAGGTGTCAGCCATTATTATTATGGGCAAGGGAGCTGGGCCCTCCTGGTAAGCTGACCCAATAGACTGGATTTCTTTATGGAGATTTCAGAGTAGGCTGGGTCCCCTTGTAGAAATGAGGACATCTTTCTACAGGCCAGTGCCAGCCCTGCCACTCTAGAATAGCCCCCTACCCCCGGTATGCCACAGGGCAGACTTGCCCAGGTACCTGACACCCCTCTGCCTCAAAACACATGCACACTCCTGGTCTTCTCCTCAGCCCTCACTGGGTCTGTTCTGCTGGCAGGAACTGTTAGATTTGCCATCAAGCCTGGCTTTCCTTGTGACCCCTCTGTGTATGTGACCTTACCTGGTAGTCAAGAGATCCAGATTCTAGTCTTGTTCTGTTTTGAATCACTGCGAGAGCTTAGGCAAGTCATTTCCATGTTTGGGGCCTCAGAGCTGTTAATTGACTTTCCCAGCTCCCAGTCCAATTCTCTGACTCTCTGTAATGTGGAAGAGACAAGAACAGTATGTGTGGGGGCCTGAGGATGGAGCACAAGACCCATTGTTGGAGGCTCCAGGGAGGCAGAAGGTTTTATGTGGAACTGGGTGGGGGTGATTTGAGCTGTCATTCAGTGCTTCTCAAAGTTGCGTCAGAATCAACTACAGAATTTTAAAAACACTACAGTTACCTGGACCCTGGCCTATGTATTTATTTAAACTTATTTAAGCTCCCCAGGTAATTCTAGTGTGTGGTCAGGGTTAAAAGCGGCTGAGTTAGATGGTCTCGTAGGCTCTTTGATTCTGATTCTGGGTTTTTCTTGCCTTCTCCTTGTTTGTCTGGCCTCAGAAGCTCATTCTCTGTAGGTCAGAGTTGAAAGAAAGAAGGCTAAGGGTGGGGAGGTGAGAAAATAGGGGAAGACCAGGAGTCAGAAGGTGGGGGTTACTTTTTTGGCTTCACCCCTTCTCTTGATATATAAATCACTGACCAGTCCCTTAACCTCTTCGTGCCTCCATTTTTCCATCTGTAAAATGGATAACTGATACCCTGCCCCACACTTCATTGGATTGTTTTTGGGGTTAGTATGTGGGGAAACAGTGAAGTGCTATAAAAAAGAAAGTTGCACAGTTAAAACGGAACTCGAATTTTCAAGGCCTTGTCCTGTCACTGTCCCCTGCAGCCCTGAGAAAAGACCACTCTGTGGCCTTTGCTTTGTCTCTCTTGGAGCAGAGGGTGGGACTCAGAACTCAGAATCTTGCCTTTCCAACCACCTGAGATTGCCTTACCAAACCGTTAACTTCCCATCCCTGCAGGTCTTTGTGCTTAAAAATCTCCCTATGCATGCCAAGAGCTCAGCCACCTGCCAGGGCAACTCCAGGTGCCAGAATTTGACTGCAGGGCGGAGGCCCAGTTTAAGTAATTTGTCCTAGACTGGGTTTGCTGTTAATTGGAAGCCATTACAGGAGAGCCTGTCGTCTCCGTCCCTTGGGAGGAGGAGTAGGGCCAAGGGTTACTTGCTTTATAAGCCCAAAGTGCCAACACTTTCATCTCAGTATTTAAGGAGCCATAAGTTTTACCATAGCCATGCACCTTCTATAGGGCTTTTTGCTTTAAAACTTACTATCAAATAGGAAATGCAAGGATACTGTACAAAATTTAAAAGTATAGAAGAGTCGTCATCAGTGATAAGCCTTCCTCCTATCCCTCTCTCCTGGCCTGCCCTGTCCAGAGGAGGCCTCTGTTACGAGTTTCTTATGATTCTTTTCTGAGATGCTATCCTAGGCACAGGATGTCCTAGGCACAAACATGTGCATATGTTATATATTCTTTTTTGTTCCCCCTACATAAAGTAGCATACTATACACAGCTCTGCCCTTACCTTTTCACTTAAATTTAAATCTGTGTAAAATTTGGAGCTTTGCTAGGGGCTGCCTCATTCTGTTTGATGACTGCATAGAATTCACTGTAGCCTAGGCCAGAATATACTTAATCAGTCTCCAGCTGGGGAACTCAGGTTGTTTCCAATCCTTCGTTACTGCAGACAGTGCCGCAGTGAGTGTCTTCGAAGGTGTCATTTTGCACATATGTGTGTATGTCTTCAGGGTAATTTCTAAAAGTGGAATTGCTGGGTTAAAGGGTATATGAATATATAATATACATACAGGAATACACTCATCATAAGTGTGTACAACTTGATTAATTTTTACAAAGTGAACACCACTGTATCATCAGCCCCCAGGTCAACCAGCGGAATGGACAGAAGAAGCCAGCAGCTCCCATTGTGTCCACTGCCAGTCGCTACCCCTTCTCGCCAGTAGTAATCACTATTGGGATGTCTAATAGCACAGAACAGCTTTGCCTGTTTTTGTATGTGCATTAAAAATTTTGATAGATGTTGTTCAAATAGCCATACGTAGAGGCTGTAACTATTATAATATTGTTTACATGTAATATTATATTACTTTAAGCTGATTCACTTTTTAAACGTAAGTTTATTTTTAAAAGGAGGCTTTATATCACCACTGCCATTGGGGAACCAATATTCCTCATCAAAAATAGCAGGTAGAAATGCAGATCAAAACTACAATGAGGTATCACCTAACACCAGTCAGAATGGCCATCATCAAAAAAATCTACGAACGGGGACTTCCCTGGTGGCGCAGTGGTTAAGAATCCGCCTGCTAATTTAGGGGACACGGGTTCGAGCCCTGGTCCGGGAAGATCCCACATGCTGTGGAGCAACTAAGCCTGTGCACCACAATTACTGAGCCTGTGCTCTAGAGCCCGCAAGCCACAACTCCTGAGCCCACACACCGCAACTACCAAAGCCCACGCGCCTAGAGCCCATGCTCCGCAACAAGAGAAGCCACCGCAGTGAGAACCCTGGGCACCACAACGAAGAGTAGCCCCCGCTCACCACAACTAGAGAAAGCCTGCGTGAAGTAATGAAGACCCAACACAGCCATAAACAAACAAACAAACAAACAAAAATCTACAAACGATAAATGCTGGAGAGAGTGTGGAGAAAAGGGAACCCTCTTGCACTGTTGGTGGGAATGTAGACTGATACAGCCACTATGGAGAACAGTATGGAGGTCCCTTAAAAAACTGAAACTAGAACTACCATATGACCCAGCAATCCCACTACTGGACATATACCCCGAGAAAACCATAATTCAGAAAGAGTCATGTACCACAATGTTCATTGCAGCACTATTTACAATAGCCAGGACATGGAAGCAACCTAAATGTCCACCTACAGATGAATGGATAAAGAAGATGTGGCACATATATACAATGGAATATTACTCAGCCATAAAAAGAAACGAAAGTGAGTTATTTGTAGTGAGGTGGATGGACCTAGAGTCTGTCATACAGAGTTAAGTAAGTCAGAAAGAGAAAAACAAATACCGTATGCTAACACATATATATGGAATCTAAAAAAAAAAAGAAAAAAATTGTTATGATGAGCCTAGGGGCAGGACAGGAATAAAGATGCAGACGTAGAGAATGGACTTGAGGATACCGGGAGGGGCAAGGGTAAGCTGGGGCGAAGTGAGAGGTGGCATGGACTTACTGATCATTTGAACTAGGTAACTTTTGAATGTGAAAAGAAGAACCCCTAATAAATGCACCAGTACCAGTATAAACCAGGATTTTAAGAGGCAAATGAGGATATATACATATATATATATATATATATATATACATATAGCTGATTCACTTTGTTATACAGCAGAAACTAACAAAACTTTGTAAAGCAGTTATACTCCAATAAAGATGTTAAAAAAAATAGCAGGTAAATATGACAGTAAATATAGTGCAGGGAAGACAAAACAAGTTATTTAATCCTAGCTAGATACAGTGGGTGCTGTAGGCTGCAAACCTGAGGCTTGCCCTGGTTGTTCAAAAGCAGTTTGGCAAGTGTTTGAGAGGCGTAAAGACAAACTGACACGGAAGCTGAGATTTGCTCCTTGATGAGATTGGAAAGATCAGAAGGGAAAGGAGCAATGAAAACTTCTCTGTCTATGAGTCAATATGAACATGACCTTGAACCCCTTACAGTGACCTCTTGTCCCACACTTGGGGGCCCTCTCATTTTTAGAGGGTTACCTCGGGGCTCAGAGGGGGTGTGTCTCAAGGTCACTGAGCAGAGTTGGC